CCCCAAAACCCCAAAACCCCAAAACCCCTGCCCAAAAACACAAAATTGAACCAAAACCCCCTCCAATCCTCAACTTTACGCAAACTTTAACTCATAATCATAATCATACCATTTGGCCAATCTCTCCCACACATCCTCTGTCACCTTCACATAATCATACCCCTAAACCTCTTCTTCCGCTTACCTCCATCATCTCCTTATTAAACTCAAACTGCTGGTTGTCACTATCACTTTCTGCAATATCCTCTGCTAAATTGTTTACCTGTGAGCTTACAGAAGGCGAGTTTTATTAAGCAGGAGTTGTCGATTTTGCCTGGGGGAGGGTACAGTTCTTGCCAAGAGAGCAGGTTTTGGTCGGGGAGGGGTTTGGAGGGGGATTTTGGAGAGGGTATTGAGGGGAGGTCTAGAGGGTGAGTGGGGATGTACCTGATACTAAGTCTAGAACACTTTCGTCACCTGGATTCACTCCTTTAACCAAACTTTCCCTATTCGATTCAGAAGCTTTAGAAGTATTGTTGTGAGACAAATTGCTATTTTTGATCAGCTCATCAAATTCAATGTTAATATAGTCACACCAAGACTTCCACCAATTAATAGAAATAGCAAAACTGGAGATATCAAGTTGAGAATCTCCTCAATTTGTCTGAAGAATCAACTGCTTTTGAACTTCAGGAGCAGGCATCATATCTGTAATTATAATAAGCTGAATCCTTACTATCATAGAAACGGACTGAAGGAGTATAGTAATCAACATTCGATTCTGTATTTCAGAGAGATTCGTGATTATTCAGAGTGGAAAGCGGCACATTCTCCATCTTTAAACTCTCTTCAGACTCACACTTTGGCCAAAAAGAGTTCTTCCTGGAACTTATGTTAACCGGAGGAGTGTTCTTGATCTGCTTATCTATTCAAAATTAGGTCTAAAGTTTATGTGACTAAATAAACTATTACTTACGTTTATTTGGATCTATCTATCATAAACATATTCTTGGTCTCTTCTTCGGGTTTCCTTCCCTATATGGAAATTGTTTATATCAGAAATAACACAAAAGAAATAGTCTTTTTATGCTTGTGGGAATAAATAATTGTCTTAGTTTTCAGCAGTTTAGGCTAAAGAAAGTTCTCATTAATGCTACCTTCTTGTAACTAAGCATCGAAATCTTAGGAATTTTTCATAATTATTAGTTGACCATTTTTATGTCAGATTTCGTTTGTTTCAAAAATAAAACAAAGAATTGTAACTGCAAAATAATTTTTAAGAACTAAAGCTAGATAGCCTTCAATAAATAATGACATAAATCCTTCTGTTATCGTAAAGTTTCCTTAAACTTCTTTGATATAGTTTTACTCTCAAATGTTTTATGAAAATTCTAAATCTAGTTTTGCTAGCATTTAATGGAGGAAAGGTCTAATTCTCTTAATAAAATTTTATTGAAGCAGGGCTAAAAAGAAGGCACTTCAACAAACTTCTCATGATACAGAAACTCTTAATATTGGCAGAGATGAGAAAGTTATCGTATCTAGAAATTAGACACTGAAATCAAAATATTGAGAATATGAATTTCTTCAATTAAAACAGAACCTTCAGATTACCACAAAACTTTGTTCTGGAGATATTGGCTTATTTATTTTAGCTTCAAAATCATCCGCTTCTCCAGATATTTTACTCTGTTTGTCTAAAAATTTGCTTTCATGTGATTGTTTTCTTTCACTTAAATCAACTCAAACCACCGGAGGGTTATTATTACTACCTTCATCAACATCGTTAAAAGTCTGAATATGAGGAATCTCACTATTCCTCGAAGAATGAATCAATTTAGAAGGCACTTTAACAGCCTTAAACCCCAAAAGCGGCACCAAAGGTGCTAAACTCTTCCTCATTTCTTTCATTTCCTCTCCAAAAGTCCTATTCACCACTGGTATTGTTGGTATATCCTGACTCAACTTCTCCTTTCTCATCTTCCTCTCTTCCTTCCTCTCTACCTTCTTCTCTTCCTCCTTCATTCCACTCAGCTGCTTCTTCATCAATTTCATTTCTCTTCTCAAATTCCTGACTATTTCCTCTAAAGGCTCTATATTCCACTGTAAATCCCCGCTAACAATTTTTAAAGAGAGCTTACTTCAGCGCTGTGCGACCAAGGACTTGACCAGGCTGGTCAAGTTCTTGAGCTTTCTAGGGGAAGTAGACTTTGGAAATACTTGGTGCTGTTTCATGGTAGCTAGAGAGGTGCCCAAGGCAATATAAGGAAGGGGAGACGGAGCGTTTGGGATGGGGGCATTTGGTGTACCTTTGAGAGAGAAGTTTCCTGTTCTAGGGGATCTGTCGAGGTTCATTGTTAATTTTATTATTTTATCATGTAGGAATATTTGGGGTTTTGGGGTTTTGGGGTTTTGGGGTTTTGGGG